TGCATCCTTTAAAAATAGGGTAGTTTAGTCTTTTTCAATAAAAAGTTATTGAAACGACGTAGTTTTAGGATAATTTTCCTCCTAATCTTTAGGAGGTAAGGCTGACAGGAACTTTTCTCATATATATATATATGGAAAATGTTTCTGTTAGCCTTAGTTCCTAAAGATTATGAAGAAAATCATCTTAAAACTACGTCGTTTCAATAATTTTTTATTGAAAAAGACTAAACTACCTTATTTTTAAAGCATATATTAGGGTAATTTTTGTCTTTTTTTCTCTTAATTTTTGAGAAGTAAAGCGGACATGCACTAACCCCTATATATATATATATTACTAAGATTAGAAACAAAAGGAAAATAATTAAGAAATCATTCTACTTTTCCTTTGCTTATTTTGGGTGTTTTGATAAGCAAAATTATTCCCAGTAGAGGACCATGCATAATAATAAGGTTATTATTCATTTATCCAAAAAAATTCAGAATTTCTATACACTCAAGAAATCAGTCATCACATGGGTACTTTAAAACTCAAGAAAACTGTACACTCAAAGACGAAAATAATTTCAAAAAACAACCAATTCTAAAGCACAATACCCCTCAAAAGTCTAAAATGCATAATTAGCAAAATTTGCCCATCTGGTAGGGTATCTTGAACCTTATAAAAACAAAATCCTAGAAACAGAACATGCAAGAAATCACAAAAAGAGCAGATCTCAAACACTTGTGCTCATCAAAATTTGTGAAATTCCTTCAAAGATAGCACATTAGTGACAAATTCACCAACTTGAAGATTTTAAATCTCAAATATTTTGTGAACACCAGTAGAAGTGAATTGGACAAAGAAAAGTTGGGGGCTTACCAGTGGGGCTTGAACTCTAAACTCTCTTTGAGAGCATTAGGGGACTGTCACAGAACAGATTGGTCCATCTTAGAAACATAGAGAGAATCAAAATCGAAGCTTGAAAAAGGAAAAAATAAAAAAAAAGGGGGGGTACTTAGGACAGTGCTTGAAAATCCAAGAAACACTTTTATGTGCAAAAAGGGATACCATCTCCTGAACACATCAAAACAGGAAGATCCCAAGGTGACATGTTGCTAATGTTTGAAGAACTCATGCTAAACTTCGAAAACCTCACATTCAGATAAGGAAGATATTGTAGGCCCCAGTGTCTCTGTGCTAGAAAAACTAATGAGCTGTAGTAGTGTCTGAAGATCCCAAGTAAATACAATTCTTGAAGAGCAAAAAATAGAATAAAAAAAATCAGTACTATAATATAAGAATCATCTCATCACACTTTCTTTTAAAATTTTTTAAAAACGAATAAAGGAATTAAGCCCAAAAAAAAAAAAGAAAAAAAGAAAAAAAACAGTGTAACTTGAGCAAACATGGACTTAGCAGTTAAATCTTGAACAACATAAATTTTCTCCTTCAGAACAGAAAATAGACCGTTAACATGTTCAGGCTCACAACCAACAAAAAAAGGATCACCACAATCATTTACATCAGCCTCTTTTCCTCCTATTAACAACCATTTCTACAATGGAACAGTAATGCTTGCACTTATGGTTGAGAGAAGAGACACCAGTATTTTCAACCAAAAGAGAAAGCACACATCTTAGCAAGCATCTTGAATCAACAGAAGGAATCCTAGTTGTCTCTTTAAAACAGAA